TTGGTGATGATCCAGTATAGAACATGGACTATCGTCCAAATAAAACTTGAACCACCATAGCATTATATGGGCATACGAGAATAACACTCAGAAAATGGTCAGCAAAAAGAGTTAAGTGCGAAAATGGAGGAAAGAGGTCGTGTTGATGCGTTTGAAACCGCAAAATGTATGTGAATGAATTGAGTGTCAATATGTTTTAATCGCATGAACAGAATCGGTAGTAAAACAATACAAATGACATCACTTGTTGTGGTTCTGTCGAAAATTCTAGTGGAAATTTCAGTTGGGGAGTTATGTTACAGTATGTCATGGTGATAATATGAATAGAATGAAAGGTATTTGTTCATTCAATGGTTGGTAATGTCTAAGCTGGGTTGTAATCTAATCATGAGCACTCTTGCCTAGAAAGTCATCTGTCTAGAGATTGAGGTATTCAGGAGATTTTTAAGAATAGCTATTTCGATTGAAGACCGAATTCTATTTCAACCTCACATGGATGTATTAGGCAAGACACAAAAACGTCTTCATGACATGAACGCAAAGATTGGCTCTACGACAAAAACAGCATCTTGTACGGTGCAACTCCCTTTTTATATCAGTCATGTTAGGCCATAAATCTTCGAGGTAAAATGACTGTGATATACCTAGTATTCAATTTTGCAAAGACTTGTATTTCGCTAGAAATTAAGTTCTTTATTTCTGGAAAAGCGTTTTTCAGTGGTGAAGTTAGTAGTTAATAATTCTGAAGGAAATTCGTTTCTATCACTGAGTTTGATTATTAGAGGTCGACATTTGCAAGAAACAAATCTGCTTTATTAATAGCATTCAAACGAAGTCAGGATATGTGTTTTAATTTGTGGTTAAATTCCTTACTACTTGTAAGATCCTTTGAGCTAATATCGGAACCATCTGCATTTGTCTCTGCTTAGCGTCACTGATTCGAGGGATGCCAGGTGCGTGAGACGTTTTATAGGAAGCTTTATATCTGTTTTTCGCGGTGGATCCATCTGTATAGATAAATCGGCGGTAAACGCCTGGATGGTTGGCGTACTATTAGACTAGATTTTATGACCAAAAGAGAAAATCGAGCGATTAGAGTCGACATAGAGACGATTTCAATTAATGTTCTGTCGATTTACAAGCAAAGATTGTACAGATAAGTGGAGTAAACAAATGATAGAGAATGATTCCGTCTTTCTAGAACTTGTCGAAATATCAGAAAACTTTTATATGCATACTCAACTATGTTGACGTATATTTAGCACAGAAAGAGATGCATCGAGAGCAAGTGTTGAGTCATGTGTAGCTTTTTTAATCGGCACCGATGTTTAGCGGAAACAATAGCAAACTAGAAGAATAGAGCTGCAGTTACAGTATTTGTTTGACGAAATTTACTTCCCGGTTAGTTTTAAATTGTCGGAGGTGATCATTTCTTAGTTCCCAGGTTTTCTCTCACCACTTGTCAACTTATAGGGAAAAGCAGGTGATTTAAACGTGTTGCAAATACGGCCAATTATGAAATTGGGTTCTTTCTTATATTTCACTTTTTCTCTTCTTATGTAATCAATTTTGATGTTTACTAAAATTCATCAGAAAGGAAGGTTTGCTACCCTTTACAGTTTGATTGCAAAGCAGATAGAACAAAAAGCACTACAGATTCTATTCTTATTTCATCGTGTAATGAGATGAAATGTTAACTTTTTGCATCTCATCTTGTTTAGAATTAGATAGAAAATGTCCGTCATAGTTTCTCGGAATTTGAAATAGTTATTTATCTGATTTGCAACGTCGATTAGAGCAAAAATCCTTTTCTCGTACTTTTATGTCTAAAATGAAATTATGGTCAAGTGACTTTCTCAGTGTTATCTTCTTAATTGCTTTCGTAATGGTGACAATATCTGCTAAATGTGGCTTCAGTGCGTTATTGTTTCTTGTACTCATTAATAACTGCTTATGTAACTAAGAGCACGTGTAACACAGTGATGAAGGGTGTGTTACAGCACACATCGGATGAGACCCTGGTTCGATTCCGGGTTCCCCAACTATAGCATCTATGTCTTCAGGGTCAGCCAGTAGATATCAGAGTTGTTTGAATGAATGAAAAACATTAACGAAATACACCGGTACATGCCCACAGGTCATCGTATAAGTCATATTTGTTTTATATCGCCTTTAAGATGCTTAATGGAGTAGAATGCGTGGTGACACTCTAAGGGGTTGATCAGCACCGAATGCTTCACTGTTTATTACCTTACGCATAGTTATTTTCCACTATTCATCTAATTTTGGAAAAAAAATGAAAATAAAGATGGTTAAAATTTTGGAAAGACCGTGCTGTTATTCTTTCCTAAGCCTTATAGTTCTTAGTAAACGTAAAATATGTGTTAAAAGAGTTTTGCTGTTTACAATTGTTCCTATTTACGATTAAAGACAATCCGTGTAAGTATCATCTACGTCTACTTGTTTATTTAAGTATTTAGTAGACAGGTAAATTTTTGTTCGAAATGCTTCTTTTAGAAAGCTTTTAGATTGCTAATAAGAGTTTGTCTACCAGTATAACGAGAACAGTTAATTCGTATTTGTAATCGATGGGCTAATAAGAAGACCTCTTATTTTCTTACAACCAATATTATTTTCTTTCACCGAATTAGTCGTATGTGATTTGCTGAGGTATTCAAACGATGTACACTTCATGTCAAGCAAAAACGGATACAGAAAAAACATCTCAAACGAAGCTATAGGTTCTGCTACATCAGAGGGTGTTATTTTCACAAACAAAACCAAGTAATAATCAAATTCCGTATTTTCTCTTGCTTCTATTCTAAATAGGGCGCGTGTGGTGCAGTGGTCGGAGGCGCCACTACGACACACACATGGAATCGATCCTCGCGCCCATGATTCACCAAACCTTCCATCCCTCCGAGGTCGGCAAATTGGTACCAGACTTGTCTGGGAGGATAGCAGCGCTGGCTCGATATATCGGTAGGCCACCGTGAGTAAAGGCCAGATATGCATTCGATCACCTCCAAACGATGCTTAATGAAGTCGAATGTATGGCGCATCCCTCAGGGATTGATCAGCGTCGAGAGCTTTATCCTTTATCCTATTCTAAATTACTCTTCACTAAGGTTGGATATGCACGAAAATGGCAAGTGCAAGTGGTTCATTTTAGACGTGCTATAATATTATGGATTATATAACCAAGTTTTGTTCATTACATGTTTTTCTTCAATGAGCAGACACAAGGTTGTTATTATAGGATTTATTAGGATGCAATAGCTGACGTTTCGGCGGTTTCGCCTTCTTCAGAGCCGTTTATTTGTTGTGTTTAAGTTAGTTGATGGATAGCAGTCGCATAGAGTAATACTTGGGCGATAACTAACTTAAATACTTGCAACAAATAAGCGGCTCTGAAGAAGGCGAAACCGCCGAAACGTCAGCTATTGTATCCTAATAAATCCTATAATAATAACCTCGTGTCTGCTTATTGAAGAAAAACATCGAATTACCTATCAATACCGAGGTTAAAAGAAAGCTGGTCGTGGGAAAATAAACATTGTTATCAAATTTGTGTGAGCTCAACAATTTAAAAACATCTTATTTTGCTACCGTGGTTAAACGACGGTCGGTTTGCAATTTGCTTTGATATACGCTTTGTGCTAGTTAACATAATACCGACTGCTAAAGAGTCGATTAACCGTTGAAAATTAAATTATCAACGGATAGTCATATCAGCAACAAACGCCCTGCATAAAAGAACACTGCCGGGCGAGCGTGATTCATTCATGCGGTGCTGCACTGACGAGGAAATAGCTCTCAGTGCGATAACGAAGACACCACATCGAGCTTATGGGCAGCTGTGGACCATCGACTCAGATCAACGGCCCAGATAAAGACGAAGACGGCGAAACGTTAGCCGAAATAAGTACCACTAACAATCCCAATTTCGTCCAACTGATCTTTCAAATTTTCGTTCAATTCGTGTTAAATGGTTTTCCAAAGTCCTCTGAGGTACAGAATGGCTCCGATAAACTTTGTAAACTCTTGGCTCAGCTCTAAATCTCTTACTTTGATTCAAAATGATATTTTGAAAGAAGAAAAACGATAAATTCGCCGTCGAATATCTATATAATTAGTCGAGCCCTCCTATTACGGAACTTTTTGAACCAAACTTGCATGATGCATTCGTTTCTGTACTTTTTACCCTACGTTTTATTGACGTTATGCTCTTCTTCGGTAGTAAAATAGCTTATGTCAAACTCTAAAAAATAGCCGATAGTGTTTATTCATACTTTTTCATAAAAAAAGGATAACAACAAATGGATTAACACAAACGCCCTATATGAGCAGTACAGTGTCCACACGCGTTTAGACCAGGAGAAGACATGGACGCTATGCTGTCCATTTCACTCCAGTGTGTTCCAGGACTTTCATTATCACACTATTTATATCCACACGATAGCTAACCAAAAGCAGATCAGATTAGGATCGGTGAGACCAGAAAACTATCTATTCTGAACTGGTGATGATTTACAAAAAAACCTGTTCACGAAAAAGTTCGCTGGCCGGCAATTTGACCAACATTAAATACTATTTCATCTCAATCACTATGGCTATTCTATGAGATTTGTAGATAAAAATGGAGAAATAGCCTCAATACAAGGGGTAGAATACTTCCAGCTTCGGACAGCAATGTACTTCCACAAAGGACCACAGTAACACATAGTAAATGGTAGAATACACCCCATTCATGGATAGAGCGATTTAAATCTCGTCTACAGTTCTGTCATGCTTAGAGCCCCTAAATCCCTTAGATATTGAAAAATTACTCTTTATTGTCAAAACATCAGAAAGACCGCAGCCAACGAAAAACTGCATGGAAAAATATTCCACCAGGAAAGCCAAGTTAAACGGCGGGTGTCCGCTATGAGTAAAGTTTTTTGCTCCCAATGAAATAGTGGTGATAACAAACTGGTACCAAACTTAAGCTCTGTAGTATATTAGTGTTTCAAGCCAACCTGAACTTTGTGTTCACTGATCTTCTGATCGAAATGATGTTGTCGCCGGACGATGAAGCTCATCACGGCCGTAAAAAACGTAAGCTGAAGAATATCTACTCATGATAAAGTTCTCTTCGATCCATTTACTTTTATAAGTGACTCGGAAAGATAAAGACATAAATACTTGCTTGGTAAACGAAATCCACAAACAGTGCTGCTGTCGTAAAAAGGCAGAAAAGTCGTACGACCGGTAAGTTAGCGAACAAGCCAATTGCAAAACACAACACATCTGAAGAGACATTGATGAGAACATTCTATTCTATTCTATGAACCAAATAAATTAATTGTTGTCTGATACAACTATGATGATGCTGAGATATTTGCAAAACTCCGGACCGCAGGTGTCTGCGGTGGAGAACGAACGCGCTTCTGTCCTTTCCGGAGAGTAACGCATTCACCTCCACAGCATGTGGGTCCTTCGTTTCACCTGTCTCTCAGCTAGTTCTATCGATCAGTGCCATCATCAATCACCCGTCAAAGGGATTGATCTGGGCAGCCCAAATCGGCATTGAACCCAGTTAAGCTGAGCCTTTAGTTATAATCACAATCTTAACCTTTTTATTTACTGCCTATTCTTTTTAACGGCAGGGCATTTTTCCAAAATGTAATTACTATAATGCTGAGATATTTGCAGAACTCCGGAGCAATGGTGTCTGCGGTGGGGAACGGACGCGCTTCTGTCCTTTCCGGGGAGTAACGCGTTCACCACCACACCATGCCGGTCCTCCATACTTTTTGAAATCATACGCCAGAGTGTCCAACACAGATGTTGTGGCCTTTGGCTCGGGTAAAAGCGCTATTCTGCTGATGGAAAAATATAAAATTTTTTCTCGAACGTGTTTATTAACTGGTAATCTGACTGGGAACGGTTCGGCCGAAACAAAATCCCGTTTATCTTGCCCTTCATTGGCAATGAAATAAGTATAGCGATAAAGCGATGTTTGAGAAGGGCAGATCTAGAGGAATCGGTAGCGATAATTGAAATACCACCGAATACTCTTCGTCTTCAGTTAGTTCGTAACCGCCTATACGACCGTCTATGTGAAACACAGAATTGCGTAATCTGCCCTTATGGCAGGGACGGTGACTGCATGAGTTCAGGTACGTTTTACTTGATCTCTTGTGGAACTTGCGGAGACGAATATATTGGCGAAACGGGTAGACCTTTATGTATCCACATAAAAGAACATCTAGATGGCAAACGAAAAGCAAGACAAGGCACGCCATTAGGGAAGTTTAAGATACAAAAGCACAGCGGAGACGATTTTGATATAAAAGTCGCTATCCTGGCACGGGATCCTAAAACATCAATGCGCAAATTCCTCGAGGGTTTTTGGATAAATGCCAAAAATCTTCCAATGAATAGCAGGAAGGAATGCCCCGAGATACCACGTGATTTCACCCCTTACCTTCGTATCGATCGTTGATGAGAGGTGGTGCAGTCGCCAACTAATGCAACTCTGAGCGGCTGTTCTCCCTCTGTGGAAGGTGAAAAAAGCGGTGGGTTTTTTCGAGAAGCCGTAGATCTTGTAATTATCGTGCAGATTTCCATCTTTCTGTTAGTGCTGTTGAAGCGTTTGACCTGGTGAGTTGCGTGTTAGTGTGCCCTTCAAGGTCCTGAAGAAGGTGATTCTGCCGAAACGTCAGCTACGATTGTGTTGTATGTGTGTTATTGCGTGGAACTAAACGCATGCTGTTCAACAACCTCGCAATTACTGAGAGAGAAAACGAGGAATTCTTAAAAAGTTAAGATTGTTGTCCGATATTCGAAGTGTCTAACGACTTTCATGAACTCTGTGGATGCGACACGAGATTCGGCGTTCACACCCGTTCATTGACAAAAAACCTTACACCTGCAGAATCTTTCTTGAAGAGGTCGGTTTGGTTTGATCCTTATACACACACTTCATCGTCGTATCTATTCCAAGCCTATTCGCCTTAAGACCACTTGGCGATACGATCTTGGGTAACTGATGTAAGTAAAGTTCGCATCAACAGTAAACATTTGTTTATCATGAGACTTAGGTGTGCTGAGATGATGAGGTCCAGCTCCCTGCTACCTCGGATTAACATGTATTATGTGTATTCATACAGATGCATGTATCATAGTGGTTACAGATTCCATGCAATCATCCAAGGTCGTTGGTTCGATTTCTTTGAGGATTAAACGAAATCTGCTAGAATTTTTACGAATGGAGAGTTCTGAATGGTTCTGAACAATCGTCATATTCACATTAAGCTGCGACCACTATAAAATAGAAACGTTTTATATGGACGTAGGAATGTTTTACAGAAAGGTCACAAAGATTAACTCCAAATGAAGCTTTTAAAAACTTCACATCCGAATCAACAAACTTGCATGAAAGGAATACAAGAGCAAGAATCTGCCTAAGTCCACAATAATCAGACCACTCCTAGATAACTTACAATTCCAGAAGCTCCTCATCCAGTAGACCATGGTGGAGTAAGAGCACCATAACGAGATTGACAAGGTCACGAGCGATTTGTTGCTGCTAAATCTTGTTGTCTCAAAATGCAGACATTATTCTCTCCGTACTAGGTCCCCCCTTTCCATGGAGTGAAGGACGGAAAGTTCGAGAAATCCAAAAACTTTTGAATGCTAGCATTTCATTTCTTTGATCAAATGCTATGGAATGTCGCAATCTCATCACCACTATTGAAAATCTCATGCCAAAAACCAGAACGGAACGACATATGCAACTCTGTGGTCGGAAGAAACGACAGCTTTTCGCCGTCGCAGATTAAATGGTCTTCGTGACGCCAAGCACCAACGAAGTGGAAAAGAGCATGTGGAGAGATTGCCACTAGGCTAATTCGAAAAACGATGTTTGGAGAGATGGATTGGTTCTTCGTGAGCTATTCTCGGGAATTGGAAAACCAACAAAAAATACCAATCCTAAACGCTTAGATAGAAAAGGTAGCTTGGAGAAGAACACAGATTCACCATGAGGGTAGAAATAAAGAAGTGGCTTGGGCTATTCTATTGCAAGAACGAGAAAGCAGTGACAAGGTTAGGTAAACTTGGCCCAGTGTCTATCCTTGAGACTTCGCGTTTTCGAACGCGTTATTAAGTTGACAAGGTCATGATTATTTATATCGCACAAGAGAGGAAATCCGAAATTCTACGGAATCCATCGATGAATACGATTAAGATAAGTCTAGATGTTGAAAACTAAGTGCACCGAAGAGGTCATGGGAAGAGCACTGATCCAAAGCTAAGATCTCACCACGAAAAGCCTAAATAGAAAATGAACAGAATTCAGCGGGCAGTTATAGCAGTGCAAAGGGACTAGTGGAGGAATTACTGACCCCTCTATGATTATCTGAAGAAAAAGTGGTATTTACAGAAGATGCTTTTGAGAAAATCCTCGAAACTGTTCAGAAAACGCTTTAGGTAACTAACATAGAAATATAGGGTACTGTTGTACATTGACTTCTGTACCATGATTATTTCTTTTTCCCCGTGCTTCAGATTTTGACAGAGTATGATTTTTAGGTCTAGCAATAAATCGAAGAGCAGATAGATTTTCGCTTGGGAAACCCACCCAGTTCTTTTGTCGGTTAAGCCGCCTTTACGCGTCCATCGCATCGTCCCCTCCAAATCCCCTATTCATAGCTATCCAATAGTCATAATACTGTTTTAGCAGAAATGAAAACAAAATTTCACCATTATTGCTTAAATTTGTACTAAACGACGAATGTGAGAAGAAAAGCATGCCTTTAAAAACTTGCTGGTAGGGAGAAACCTCACTATCACCTACTAGAAGTTTTTGACCATGGGAGAAAGTTTTCTGTTTAAAATGTTCTACAGCGCACCGTCGTACTTTTAGCGATACACGTTTATCTCGTGAATGTCCTTCAAGGTAGTCTACTGCAAAAAAAATTACCCGTCACTGACGTAACGGTAATGGACGCTCCGGAAATGGAGACGGACTCGGCCATTCGTTGTTCCAACGGTGCAGATTTCCTGAAAAATGTTAATTCTTCAGTTTTGATTAGTTTGAAAAACAACGGCAACAGCCGATGCTAGCCGTTGGCTTGCAGAAGACCTTTCGTTTGAGCTAGATTGTTGGAAGAATTTACGTTTACAACTACGCATGAGAATGGTGGTGGAACAAAAATCCACCCTCACACATTCCCCAGAGAGGAACCAACCGTGAATAACCTGTATGAATCACTCTTGCTGGATCAGTTCTTCCACTCGAGTATTCATCAGACCAAAATTTGCACGCCACGACTATGATTTCACAGCTGATTGGCTTAGTGACTGAACACGCAAAGTGCAAAAATTCTCAAAAGAATGGAAAGGAAAATTTGATTCTTAAAAATTCCGGCAACAGTACAATTGAAAACGCCAACGACAAATTGCAAAACATCATCGCGTCGTGCTAGAGGGAAAATTCCTGACTGTTCAATTGCTTTAAAAGAAGAAAAACTTCAAAAAAAAGCCTCATGGACTCGAGGTAATCAGAATCTGGTCTTGGTAGAGCAAAAGAACTTATACCTTTTAAGCAAAGGTGCGTAAAATCTAATGGCTCTCGTTTTGATTAGCAAACTTCAACTTTAAAGTTAATAGTCAAAGTTAAGTTACTAACTTAAAACTGACGGTTGCCATTATATCCTCAACAAATGCATTGTTCTCAATGCATGTTTCGTGCTATATGTTAAGTGGGTATAGAGATGGAGCAAGCAAAAGATTCTGGACTACATAACACCTATTGTTTACCGTATCCCATCGTATTCTTAATATGAAGATTTTCTACTGTTTCCCCACAATGTAGTCGCCTACTCTCTTCCCACGTCATCCCTAAGTCGATGTAACCGTATCACATGAGTCGGGAGACGAAAAAATGCGCAAAGTGCGAGGTGAACTCACGTTGATTGCCGCCATCCGGCCAGCAGAAGGAACGCGTCGTCGATGCCGATTGTGACGACCAGAAATGGAACCACCGTCAGGATATTCGTGAACGGGAATCCGATCCAGAACAGAACGCCACAGCTGGTCCACAATGCCATAGCTGGCGAGAATATACCAACCAACGACTGACATAATACAACCATTGAGCTCATCTCTCATAAACCTGTCACTCTCAGTGCTCAAAATATACCAGGTGTTTCCTCTATAAGTTTATAGGATTTTTTCGAAGAAAATCCGCTTCTATTAACATATGCGTAGAAATGGTTCAGTTGACCAAAATAAATATAACCAGTTAGACAGTGGAGAAAAGGCGGTTTACACCACCACTTTCTAACGTTTACTTTACAACCAATCTATTCACTACTCATTCATGACAGGAATTTTAGAGAAACAACTCAAACTGACCTCCATGTATTGACTTCTATAAAGTGGAAAATCGATAAGAGTAAGGAACATGAAAGTGATGAGCACAAGCACAGTAATGCCAAGGTACGGAATTGAGGTGATAGTGATTTTTCTGCAAAGCGTTAGCTCGAGCGAACATATGAACTCATTCATCTTGTAATCACTTCATAAGCAACACAGATAACTTTCACTATAATATCCTAAGAAGACCGTGCAGTCCAGTCATTACAGGTACCTTGAATACACGGAGTGTCGTTGGTACGACTCCGTCCCTCGGGTAAACCGAGCCCTGCAACCCTACGGGGTCAGCAAATTGACCTGTATTGGCTAAATACGTATTCAACTACCTTTAAAATACTTACTTTAAAAAGCAGAATGGACGACTTGCGCTTTTGTTATCTTCACTTTAACTAACTCTACGCCTTCGTTTAAAAACTGAGTCATCTTCATTATTTTAGAGGCCTAGAGGTTGTTGTAGTTGGATCTTTATGCTTTCATAAGTGGAACAATAGTTACGAACATTGCCATAAAGTCTTAACTGACTGCACTTCACCTCTGTTCTTCGATTTCTCGTTCCCTGCTCAACAATGAGAACAGAAGGTCGGCGGACGACTCGGACAGCGCAGCAAAAACTCGTCGAAGTTTCGACTCGAATTCGGCCGCTAATCGCTTGCCGTTCGGCAACGACGTGTCGACCTGAATGCTCTCTTTCAGAAGCGAATTACAGCCACCTACGACAGTATAACATCATGAAAAGCTGCTTCCTAATTGTCTAGAAGGTTTACAACGTTAAAAGAACTAAGTTTACCTAAACGTTGCCACAATATTTGCCAAATTTTTCCTGCTACCAGTTGGTTCTGTTCTGCTATGACTAAATCCTTCGTGAGCCAGTGTTTTTTATGTTATGTCAACGTCAGTGCCAGTTGTTTTTAGTTCAAAATGGATTGGTCGTTGTTAAAACATAAATCACTTCCTGATAAGTTTGTTTTCTAAAGCTGGTAGAACAACATACTAATGTGGAATTACAGAGTATTCCTCCTCAAAAGAATGTGATCAATACCAGAGCAAAGCGATACGCCCTTATGAACTCGAAAAATACCTTAAAGGTCTTTAATCCCTTAAGGTTCCTGCCATCCAATTACGTTCTTCTTTCACTCACAACTCACCATTGTTAAAATTCTAACCCCTTGTTTGCTTTATAAAGTAGTAGTCAATTTTGTATCCTATTATGTCTACGTTCCTCACCATAAAATGAAGTATCAATAGTCGTGCTTCTTTAATCTCATCCGGTTGATCGTCATAGAATGTGAGATCACCAAGCGAATAGCCAAGAAATACCCGTTTCTAAACGAAGGATAGTATCATATGCCAGATTCTAGCATTTGCTGATGTGATATGAGCGTTTTGAATTGTCTGTCAGTGCATGAAAACATCCAAAAACTGGTCGGTGAGACGACACAGCTTTTCATTTTGTCGGGACCATCAAGAATCTTATGATCCACACACCTATTTCACTAAACTCTTCTTTGTTTTTACTAGTTTTCTGTTTTTCAAATAAATCCTAACCTGGAAAGCTTCAGCGCTTGGGAAAGACAATCGAATAGACATAGAAGTCCCTCGGGTTGCAAGCGCCGTCTGAAAAGCACTGACTCATTGGAGGACTGTCATTTATCAACATTCATTAAAGTGTAGCAGTGTGGATCATTTTCCCATGCGCAGTTAATGAGAAACCACACAGAAAAAGGGAAACATAAACAACAAAGGAAAATAAGCACCCGTAAAAAGGCGATGATCACACCATTGTTGTCCTGGCAATAAACGCCACATATAGCACTGTAATTGAACTCTTGAACACCGTTAGAGGCTGTCATGTTCTCCGTGATGAACTGAAACTTTCACTATTCCATTTCAGCAAAAAGAAGAATTTGTGATGCCTTGAAACATTTCATTCTAGGAGGATAAAGATGTTTGAGAAGAAAACTCGTTCTAGTGAAAGAAACATTTGCTCGCTCGTCTATTTAGCAGTTAGTTTCACAACAGACGAAATCAGAAAATAGAAAAGTTAAAGGAAAATTGAGGACTTATAGTTGTTGAAGAAATGAGAAATTTCTGAGTTCCAAGTTACAAACTTCTTCTGGACTATGATGCCTCAGGAATTCGCACCGTCTTTCTATTCATTCCGTGTTTGACCAAACGTACTTCATAAATGCTTCCTTACTTGGACACTTGGACGGCCCGTCGTCACTGGCTGTGTTAGCTCCAACACAATCTCAATTTTTCGGAGTTTTGCTGGTTTAGCCATTGCTTCATTGAAGTCCTAAGGTCAGTCTGGCCAAAGTCTGCCCCAGGTCATCACCACCACAGGCAGTCGCCGACTTTGTGGGTCAGAGGGAGATTTGCCACCATGCGACTAGTTCGATACCAGGACGGTTGTGGATCCTGGCACTGGTTTACTCTCAGCTGGACTTCCTACTGGAAACGCCGGAGTCCTTTTCATCTTAGGAGACCCTGCCATAGAACGAATCTCCCTCTGTACATCGAAGCCCAACAGCCTGGGACCCCTGCTAGCCACGATGAGGCGCTAAACCGTTGCGAGGACTTAATAAATATTATAGCCAATTTCTTTCGTAGTGAAAACGTATGAAATTTTGCCATAAATTAGTTGAGAAACTGCTTTTCTGACCTTTTGAATGTCGTAGAGTTCATCAAGAACCTCGTTTGTCAGCACATTCGTGTGATCTTTACGAGTTACAAGAATTTGCATCTGAAAAAACGAAAATTTGAGCGTTGCTATCTTTGTAGAGAATAAATAAATGTACAAATAAAATCCATGAAAATGCATCAATGGGGACAAGTTAGCATTAGATGGAATCGGAATAAATCACCCATGTTGTCCCTAATCTTAAACAAGTGCTGAATATCTTTAGTACCACAGAGTTTTTCCACTGCCTCTTTAACAGTTCAAATATATTTTTTACCATAAGATGAATTTTTAGCACTTTTTTGATTAGCATGGTTTTTGCTTCAAGTGCTAACTCGTTTTGCGACAATTCACAATGAAACTAGTCGTCGAACAATGTTTGTAAAAGCAGCAACCTGTGGAATTACGCCTACAGCCATCTGTCCGAATAACACTGGATTTGCAGGCCTCTTCTCTTAAGGAATTTAAAACAGACAAGAGTGGCGAGAAAGATTACGACCACTCACTACTACGATGTATCGAACCGCATGACACTTTCTCATCCATAGAAAAAATAGACTGGACAGCGTTCAGCATCGATCAGCCCTTCAAGGATGCTTCATGTATCCGACTTCATCAAGCATCGTGGAACCGGTGCATATTTGGTGTACAGAAGAACTTATGGGAGCGACTGATGTATCAGGCCTGCGCATTTACCCTCTTAGGTAGTTCCGATGCCAATTTGCCGACCCCGGAATGATGACGAAGGGGCTTGGTGAGCCCTGAGCGTCCGATGGAACAACAACTTTGTTTACATTGCAAGGTACTTCTAACAATCACGCTACGCGCACCCTTCACTTCCATACTCAATAAGATCCCGAAACACGAAGCGAAAGAATACAACAGCAAAATGAACATCGTAATGTCTTTTTAAAACTTCTCCGGCTAATTTCGTCCACTCCAGTCACGTAAGCTGCACGCTGTTAAGTTTTTGAGGTTTTCCTAAGAATGTTGGTACACTCTGACAAAAATAACCCTTGGATTACTTCTCAGAAGAAATTCTATCATTCACAGTTGTATTCAACTTTCTGCTGGTTATGTCAGAAAATTCTGCACTTTAGGAAGAAACACATGAAATAATGACCCTGTAGTGATGTGATGCCGAAGCATATTCGAATGGTAGCAGTCCCTTCTCCTCGACTCGGGAAAGGGCGTTCAGTGGTGCGTAGATGTCCCAGATGTCGTCTTGAGAATGAAACGACAGCATACCATAGGAAGAAATCACGGTCAATAACGTGGGCACAATCTGCAAAAAAAAACGATGGACGTTTTCGTCCCATGTTTCTTCACCTACGTTTTCTTTTCTGCCTTCGTTTCAGACCAGAGCCGATAACTGTTTATCTGCAATGTAGGGATCAAAACTATTATGCGATGTTTTTTTCAACAACCCGCTGGTCTACTGACTGCCTTCATTCATACATCTGTTCCCAAGCTGAACAGAAAAAGCTCGTTTTCATAATGAAATTCAATTTCTTTTTGTATCAGCTTTCAATTTATCTTCGGTCCGATACTTTGGAACATAGGTAGCAACTATAATAATAAATATCTCAGCATTATTGTGGCTGTTCCACACATAATACCATGCCGTGAAAAATTTTGATAGGCAATAAATAATAAGTTAAAATTGCTATTATAACCATAGCCTCTGCTTAACCGGATTCATTGTCGATTTGCCCCCTCCCCAGATCAATCCCGCTGACGGGTGATCGCTGATGGCAAAAGATCGATAGAACTAGCTGAGAGACAAGCGAAACGAAGGACCCGCATGGTGTGTTCGTGAACACGTTATCCCCCGGAAAGGACAATAGCGCGTTCGTTCCCCGCCGCATACACCTGCGGTCTGTAGTTTTGCAAATATCTCAGCATCATTGAAGTTATATTTGGCAATGCATACCCTGCCGTTAAAAAGAGTAGGCAGTAAATAATAAGTTAAAACAGTTAATAACGTTTTTTCTCATTAAAGAAACATAGGACTGCTGGAATTCCAATTGCTCTACACTACAATATACTCATCAGTTTTCATGCTAAAACCGGTAACGGTAAAAAAATCTCACAATGAACGGCCATGGGTGTCGTGTGATAAAATCGCCATAAACATAGAAAAAACGCTCAAGAGGTCGCATAACTGAAAATAAATGATGCTGTTCGAAATGCTCCTTTTTGCTTTGTTTCTCTCAAAAACGAGATATTTATGAAGGAAGAAGAATAGAAATACAATGAAGTCCTCTGTTTACCTCAAAGACGAGATATTTATGAAGAAACGAAGAAGAGTGAAAATAGAATGAAAACCAAAAGAATGACTACCAGAACGATTACGTCATCAAAACTACGCGGGAGTTTACAACATGAATTTTTCTGCAGTTGATGGCAAAGTTAAACTAGTTTAATCCAGTCAACTGAAACATGGTTGCATTTCTATTTCAGGCGAACATTTTTAAATATTTTGAAATGATCGAAATTAAAATGTATGCACTTATCAGCAGAGAACTACGATAGCCAACACGAAACTGAAAAAGAAGAGATTACAGAAACTGTGAAGGACAGCGAAAATTCTACCGTTACAAAAGAAACTATGAACCTCATTGGAATTTAAAGTAGCGAAGCAGTGACCTATATGTACTATGAATGAGACTTGGAAGCGTTTCGCACCAAAAACAATTAATGATTTTACATCGAAACTGGGCACTAGGAGTGAACAGATAATCTAGCAAACAGTCATAGAAATCAAATATCCAACTATTTGCAGCCCTGAATTTCAAAGAAACAAATAATATAGATAAAGAATGAAAGATGCAAAGGCGACTTTGTATTCAGTGAATTTCAGTCCCGAAAAATGACGGCGACACTTAGGGAAAAAGATTTCGAAGGGAACAGATGGAATTAAGTGCCTAAACGAAAGCGTCTGATGAGCAAGAAGCCCTTCATACGGATATAATCATTCAACACAATGGTACGACGCCTCAGAGTAGATGGGGATTGTCACAGATGCCATTCAACTGCGACCTATAACAGGACTCATCCCCCAGCAGGGGTCACCCACCGAAGCTCAGCTAATGAGTAAACCAGTTTCATTTGACATTGTTATCCTGACAACGGCATAGTCACTAGCTATCTAACAAGGTGAAGACATGGAAAAAGAATTATAACAGCTTTCGTGACTATGGGAAAAGGTAGACTCTTACTAATGAAAAGTTTACACTCTGTGGAAATAACGGAAATAACGCTGTGATGCGCAGGATTCTCAGTGATTTGTGAAAACGGGCTTCTTTAAGTATTCGACTTAACGAGATGTTCGTAACCAAAATAAAAAAAATGAAATAACCCAGTCGGAGTCAAATAAATCAGAAATTTTCATTTATAACACCCATGCAAACGCTGACCTCTATGGGAGACAAACGGTGCAAAAACAATGGCCGTTTTCATGTTTGAGTAAACCGATTATCAGTTTATATTGAATTTTATCAATAGCAATAAAAAATATTAAAATCTACAAATTTCTGCCTATCTGAGACCATGGAACGTTTTTCTTCTACCTTTCTGTGTAAACGCTGGCATTCTGGCATTTCGAACATTCGAACAAGAAAGAAGAACAAGCAGGATTTCATCTAACAAAGACACCGTGGTTTTCCCAACGCATCGTTAGCGTTTGCAGCTACCGGATTAGCATAAGAAATTTTAAATGTTTGAAATTTTTGCAATCAATTTTCCGAAATTCCAAATTTGAGTTTGAAGGGACATCGTACAAAAATCGTATGCTCCATTGATGCAAACGAAGTCTTTCCTATAAAACTAGATAGTTCCGAACTCCTTAAATACTACAGTGACCCAGAAATTATCCTCAGTCATCAATAAACCTGCTTCTAAAGTGCCGAGAAAGCGAAGGACGTTCTGGGTCTCAAAGGTATTTTTCTCGCCTGCTTACTGTTAGGACAAAGGGTTAAAGACAGAAGGACCTTCTATAGAAAATGCATAAAAGAGAAATTGGTAGCTGACAATAGAGAAACAGAAATTTGGGGGAATGAGATGTAAATGGTATTCTCGTCGTAGTTACTTTCACTTTTGTAAAAGGAATGTGGGTACTGAAGTAGTTAATGATGCAGTCCGAGGAAAACGAATCGAATGCAAGAAATGCTGAGATCTCAACAGTACATGTGCTGATGGAACAAGCAAGATAAAAGAAATTTTTAGGAATCAAGTGTTAAGCAATCCACTAAAGGACGATGATATTGAAGTGACCTTAAATAGTCTCCATAGTATCTTTATATGAATATCATTGGTCGTTGTACAGATAATGTCACTGCCGTGACAAGCGACGACGATCATACATATCGAAAGGTTCACCTTCGTCGAAGGCGGGTTCTGTGGACAAGATCTTAGCATGGCTGTTTAACGTCTCGTCTTGATCTTCCATATCAAATTTAAAAATCTTCGCAGTACTTCGTCTACTTCGTTCCCCCCACCCCCTCCGATCCTTACACCAAAGTCACTGTGCGCAATAACACTACAGAAAACGTTTTGTGTTTTGTTCAAACAGTCCTTTTTTCGACGTAGAGGAAAACGCGCAGCGTGCAGCCTGTTTTTGCAAAAATTGGTTAATAGTAGTTGATACTGCTCATTATCCTTTCGACTAGACAACAAGAAAATGAATAACGGGTGACGGAAAAGGAAAGAATAAGGCTTCCGGTGTTGACCAGTTCCTAAGGGAATAGCATGAACTGATCAAACACCGTTAGAGGTGATTGAATGCATATGTCGCCTATACAATGCGGTTAGATATTGACGTATTACAAAAAGAAGTGCAGCCATCCTCCCAGACAAGTTTCTGGTACCAATTTACCGTGCCTAACCACTCAGGCGAGGTTTTTATTCCATTCCAGTCGCACCAAGTTATCTATCTCTCCCGGATCGGTAAAATGCTAGCAGGCTTATCTGAAAAAGTTCAATCTCTGCAATCCAACTACGTATGCTCTAGCCCAACTATCTCAGTACTTCAGGGAGAATGGGCTCTACCAGCATTCAACGATAATCACGATAAACGGAAAATTCTCAAGCAGCAGACGATGCCACACGCAGCAAAAAAGTCCGAAGAACACAGAGGATTGTGAATGCGAAAAAACGAATGACATACAAGAAGTCCTAGAATCCGAAACTTGCTACACAGGTAATTTCGGGTTCTGTAATAGTAAAAATAATAATAAATACGGTGATCCACACCTGCTTTGCTACAGATTCGGAAAAAAAAACTACGAACGACAGTAGAAAATATTCTGTTGTGGTGGGTACAGAGTAAGAATATCGATAAAATGTAGAGATTTAGAACAGCAACGCTGCTAAAATCCATTCTAACCGAACACTTGTGTCCTATCAGCGACTTTAGCAATATTTGACCTTATAGATGGAACCGCTTGCTGTGTCAGGTATCCAGGATATTTTCCTACAGATCGTGCGAGCCTTTCGCCTTAGAATCGTAAGGTATAATTGCGCTCTCAGGTCGGCACCAGAGGTAATAGTCGACGCTTTTGATCGTGCATTGCTTACGAGCTGGTCAACATATCCACAATCTGTAAGGCAATTTTTGAAATACGAACGATTTTAGCCTTTTTAACTTCTAAAGAAGGTGTTGATTTCTTTCGCCATGTTGGCCATTTAATAGCTTAAATTCCTGTTCTACCTGACTGTTATGAACTGAACACTTCATTCCTAATGTAAGGCAACTATGCAGAAATTGATTATACTTGAATTTCGTTCTGGAAAGAAAAATGGTAAGAACCGTTCTAGTTCTCTTCATGACTTGCAAAGTGAATGAAAACGATCAATATGCTCTAAAAAAGGGTAGCTAACAACCATGACTGCATCATTGAACACATTTAAGTCAATGAAGAAGTGCCAATCAAGCCTGTTTAAGTGTCTCGGCATCAACGTCACAAAAGGCCAAGAAACGAGCTCTCTATAGCATTTACCCACTTAAAGGAATCGAAATCAAACCCCATAATTTTACATAAAAGTTCTTTTAAAGCAACACTAGGTCACAATAAAATGGAATGGGATGCTTTCAGCGGTGAGTTTTCTCCACATAACCAAAAGATGAAAGCATAAGAATGGAAAGGAATTTATCGTTGTACCTAGAAATGACGTGTACCCATGTTTACACTCGCCTGAAAAAAATCTGCAACTTTAATTTTTATATTTATATATCTAATATATATT